AAAGAACAGTGTAAGGAAGTTAGAGCAATTTAAGAAATAACTAAATCTATTAAATACTCAGGAAGAAGCAAGTTAAACTAACAGTTTAAAACAAATGCTTAAAGCTAAAGACCCTATATACTCTTATCGTCTCAGAGCTTGGTTTGTTTTTTTTTACAGGGAAATGGGTTGTTCTATTCTCTTTCTTCTTTGCTGTAGAAATTTATGGATGAGAAACTTGTACCCAGCCTTAGTAACCCTATTTTTTCAATAAATTACTTGTTGTCTTTAATATCATAACCATCATTTAATAATATTCTATATGTATTTATATATACAGAGCATAAAATATAATTGCCAGCTCCAAGTTATGTATGTGATTGCTCACATATATTAAAATAAGTCAAAACAAAAATCTGGTGTTTTTTAAAAATTTTTTTATTAACATATAATGTATTATTTGTTTCAGGGGTATAGGTCTTGATTCATCAGTCTTACACAATTCACAGCACTCACCATAGTACCTACCCTCCCCAATGTCCATCACCCAGCCATCCAGTCCCTCCCACTCCCCTCCACTCCAGTAACTCTCAGTTTGTTTCCTGAGATTAAGAGTCTCTTATGGTTTGTCTCCCTCTCCAGTTTTGTCTTGTTTCATTTTGCCCTCCCTTCCCCTATGATCCTCTGTCTTGTTTCTCAAATTCCTCATATCAGTGAGATCATATGATACTCGTCTTTCTCTGATTGACTTATTTCGCTTAGCATAATACCCTCTAGTTCCATCCACATTGTTGCAAATGGCAGGATTTCATATTTTTTTGATGGCTGCATAATATTCCACTGTATATATATACACCACATCTTCTTTATCTATTCATCTGTTGATGGACATTTAGGCTCTTTCCATAGTTTGGCTATTGTGGACATTGCTGCTATAAACATTGGGGTGCATGTGCCCCTTCGGATCACTACATTTGTATCTTTGGGGTAAATACCCAGTAGTGCAATTGCTGGGTCGTAGGGTAGCTCTATTTTCAACTTTTTGAGGAAACTCCATACTGTTTTCCAGAGTGGCTGTACCAGAATCTGGGTTTTTGTTTTTGTTTTTTAAGATTTTATTTATCTGAGAGAGAGAGATAACATGAGCAGGGGCAGGGAGGGACAGAGGGAGAAGCAGACTCCCCACTGAGCAGGGAGCCCCACAGACACAGGGCTCCATCCCAGGATCCTGAGATCATGACCTGAGCTGAAGGCAGATGCTTAACTGACTGAGCCACCAGGTGCCCCCAAAAGTCTTTTCTAATTTCATTCATTAAAGCAAGTGGACAAAGCTGCTTAATGATTATTTGGACTGTGAATGATTGGGTTTTACTTGAAAAAATGGTAGTTAAATTTTCATGTTTGGAACTCTGATCTTTTAACATCATCATTTACTTACTTGTCCTGAGAATTTCAGTACACCAATTTTGATCCTTCTTAAAGGAAAGCAGTTTCTCACCTTTCGATGATGTGTTTATAGCCAGGTCACTGGAATACACACTCTCATATCTGATTGCATAAACATTACTTAAGATAGTACCAAGCTTATCATCATTCCACCCAAAGCAACTCCTTATTCTGTCTTGGTTACAACCCCATTCTGTCTTGGTTACAACCCCCCCCTCCCAAACACACACACTCTTTCCTTGATACTAATAGAGTCATTCTTGACACTCTTCTTTATCTCCCAGCAGCTAGTTAACCTCCAGGTCACAGATACAGTTTTTGTCACAGTGGCTCCCCTTGCTCTGCCTTTCTGTTTGCTGTCGCCACCACCTTAGTCCTGGGAATCATTACTCCTAGACCACTGCAACAGCCTTCTCATTGGTCTCCCTTCCACCAGTTCTTCCCCACTTCACTTTATCTTACATATTATTAAACTGTTCACACTTAAGATCATTTGAAATCTGACCATTACCCAGCTGCCAGCTTCATAATGAAATGTATAAATTGCCCCACCTCCTTTCCCCCTAACCTGAGCCCAAACTCACCTCCCTCTCAAGCCTTCCTATTTGACCAAACTAGCATTAATTGGCTACATTTGCATACAATAGACGCTAATCAAGAAGGCTACATTGTATTATCATTTATATTATTTCATTGATAATACCAATGTATTATTATTACATTGTTAATCTGCCTGCCTCAGGAGCATATAAACCCCATTATGGCCAAGGATTAAGTCTTAAATCTCTCAGTATCCCCCACTGTCTTAGTAGACAGTAATAGACTACTGTTCAAGAGGATGGACTTTGAAGTGAGACAAACCTGGGTTTGAATTCTGGTTCTGTCACTTACTGGCTCTATGACCTGGAGTAAGTTCCTAAATTTCTGTTTCCTCTTATGCAAAATGAGCATGATTATAAGCCCCTCATAGGGTTTTTGAAAGGATTAAATAAGACATATATGTGGGGCACCTGGGTGGCTCAGTCATTAAGCGTCTGCCTTCGGCTCCAGTCATGATCCCAGGGTCTTGGGATCTAGCCCCGCATCAGGCTTTCTGCTCTGCGGGAAGACTGCTTCTCCCTTCCTGCTCCCCTTGCTTGTGTTCCCTCTCTGGCTGTCTCTTTCTCTGTCAAATAAATAAAATCTTAAAAAAAAAAAAAAGACATATATGTATGTAATATGGTTGGCACAATGCCTAACAACATAATAAATAATAATAGTAATTATCTTTATAATTATGATCATGCTAAATGCTCAATTAATGTTTATCAGCCACCATTACGATACATGTCAAGAATTTGATATTTCACCCTTTTTTCATCAGTGAGATAGCTACAAGTATATGATAATAATGTGAGAGATTTTTGTTACAGTTATCAATGGCTACATGGAGCTTGAATTTTGGATATGTGGCCTCTTTGTTGTTTAGAAAAATGGTTTATTCCAGGAAATTACGTCACTCATTTATAACCTTAGCTATTGCAAAAAAAGGAAATACAAACTTTGTAAAAACAAACCCAAGAAACCCCCACCTTTTTTGTATAAAGATGTTGCTTCTATTCCATGAAGACATTTTAGCAACAGAAAATAATATCTTCTCACATAGGAAGTATAAATTCTGAAACTGAAAATACTGACAGTATTTTCAGATCTTGGAAAGTTGACCCTCTTATATACTATATCAACTATTCTATCATTTAAATGTTAAAGAATCCATTTACAGAAAGTAAGGCAACCAATAAGAAAAATCTGAAGTTACTTAAAAGACTGAGGGTACCAAAAAACAATCCAGTCAAGAAATGGGCAGAAGACATGAGCAGACACTTCTCCAAAGGAGACATACAAATGGCTAACAGACACATGAAAAAATATTCAACATCACTAGCCATCAGGGAAATACAAATCAAAACCACAATGAGATACCACCTTACACCAGTTAGAATGGCAAAAATTAACAAGACAGGAAACAACAAGTTTTGGCAACAATGTGAAGAACGGGGAACCCTCTTACACTCTTGGTGGGAATGCAAGCTGTACAGCCACTCTGGAAAACAGTATGGAGGTTCCTGAAGATGTTAAAAATAGAGCTACCCTACAACCCAGCAATTGCACTACTGAGTATTTACCCCAAAGATACAGATGTAGTGAAAAGAAGGGGCACATGCACCCCAGCGTTCATAGCAGCAATGTCCACAATAGCCAAACTGTGGAAGGAGCCGAGATGTCCTTCAACAGATGAATGGATAAAGAAGATGTGATTCATATATACAATGGAATATTACTCAGCCATCAGAAAGGATGAATACCCACCATTTGCATCAACATAGATGGAACTGGAGGGGATTATATTAAGTGAAATAAGTCAAGGAGAGAAAGACAATTATCATATGCTTTCACTCATATGTGGAACATAAGGAATAGCATGGAGGGGAAGGGAGGTAAAATTGAATGGGAAGAAATCAGAGAGGGAGACAAACCATGAGAGACTCTGGACTCTGGGAAACAAATCGAGGGTTACATAAGGGTGGGGGGTGGAGGGAGGAGGTAATCGGGTGATGGGTTTTTTGTTTTGTTTTTTTAAGATTTTATTAGAGAGATGGGCGCCTGGGTGGCTCAGTTGGTTAAGCGACTGCCTTCGGCTCAGGTCATGATCCTGGAGTCCCGGGATCGAGTCCCGCATCGGGCTCCCTGCTCGGCAGGGAGCCTGCTTCTCCCTCTGACCCTTCCCCCTCTCATGTGCTCTCTGTCTCAAATAAATAAATAAAATCTTAAAAAAAAAAAAAAAAAGATTTTATTAGAGAAAGACAATGAGAGACGGAACACAAGCAGGGGGAGGGGGAGAGGGAGAAGCAGGCTTCCCGCCGAGCAGAGAGCCCGATGTGGGGCTCGATCCCAGGACCCCAGGATCATGACCTGAGCCGAAGGCAGACACTCAACGACTGAGCCACCCAGGAGCCCCGGGTGATGGGTATTAAAGACGGTACATGTGGTGATGAGCACTGGGTGTTATATGCAACTAATGAATCGTTGAACACTACATCAAAAACTAATGATGTACTATATGTTGGCTAACTGAACATAAAAAAAAATGAGGGTAAGTACAAAATAGTTTAAAACTTACATCTCTTTGATAGTGAAGTATTAGAATATAAGTATTATAAAAGAAGATTAAAAAGCTATTAAAGAGTGCCATATTCATAAATGAACAAGAAGGCAAATAAATTTAGCCTTAGAGTAAAATGCAGCAAACCGTACTAGCACCCAAATAATCACGCACCATAGTGCTCCTGGGACATGACTTCAGCAGTCATTTCCAAAAGGTGGTTGGGGCTTGCCACACAGCCACATTTTAACAGAAGAACTGTAGGAGTTCTAGGGTTGTACCTGCACTATCAGAAGAAACAGCTGACACTCAACATGGAATTAGTTTGTATCATTTGCCTTTGGTTATTCTAGGGAGAAAGATGTATCCCTTGTCACCCTTTTGCTGCCTTTGATTATGAAGCAGGTTTTACAGCCTTTTCATTTTTTGATAGGGATCACATGCAATGGTCTGAAGAAGAAGCAGCAGCAGCCAGGAAAAAGGTAGAGGAAAACTCGGCTGTGCGAGTTCTTCTGGAAGAACAAGGTAGGCAACTACATGCTGTAGCTCCTGGAGCCTGGTTTTTCTGTTTGGCCTTCCGCTGATTTAGGTCACACGTTCTCCTCCTAATTGTGTCATTACTTTGGAAAGTTCTTCACTTCGACCTCTGCCAATCCATTTGGGAGAATTCCATTGTTCTAGTGTAGTAGGACCAAAGTTAGTGAAATAAATTATGGATTGACTCTTTAGTTGCTTTTTTGGTAATCATGGTATTACCTTTCCACACAAGGCAATTTTTAAATTTCCCTCTTGCTATACATCTTTTAGTCTGCTGTTGTGCATTGCACTGGCCAGGAGTGTTTAACAAATTCAGAAACTTTGAGCAAAAATGATAAAGTCATATCAAAGTGTTGTGGCCTTTTAGGATAAACATCAAGTTTCATAGGATTCAAGGTACTTTTCTTGAAGGCCTTTTGATATTCCGAGTTTGAGGGTGAGACCTTGCCAATCTTCAAAGCTGGCTTCTGTTTTGGCTAATTGGCTAATTGCTATTATCACAAAAACAGAAAATAACAAGCGTTGGTGAAGATGTAGAGAAATGAACCATTAGGCGCTGTGGAATTGGTAAAATTGTAAAATGGTGCAACCTCTATGGAAAATAGTATGGAAGTGCCTCAGAAAATTAAAAATGGAACTACCATATGATCTAGCGATCCCACCTCTAGATAGAGAGCCAAAAGAATTGAAAACAGGGTCTTGAAGATATATTCACACACCCATGTTCATAACAACACTAGTCACAATAGGCAAAAGGTAGAAGCAACCCAGATGTCCATTGACAGATAAATGGATAAACAAAATTTGGCATATATGCACAGTGGAGTATTAGCCTTGAAGAAGAAGAAAATCCTGTCACATTCTACGACATGGGTGAACCTTGAGGATATTATGCTAAATGGAATAAGCCTATCACAAAGAAGGCAAATACTATATGATTCCACTTACATGAGGTACCTAAAGTAGTCAAATTCATAGAAACAGAAAGTAGAATGGTGGTTACCAGGGCTGGGGTAGGAGGAAACACAGAGTTGTTGTGTAATAGATACAGTTTCAGATTTGCAAGATGAAAAAGTTCTGGACATCTGTTTCACAACAAAGTGAATATACTTAACACTACTGGACTGAACATTAAAAAATGGTTAAGATGGCAAATTTTATGTTATGTGTTCTTTACCACATTTTTTTAAAGCACACTAAAAAAAAAATCTGGTCTGTGTCCTTCGCACTGCCATAGCTAGGAACCCATATACAATTTGACCAACACATGCACTCTCAAGATAAGCTTTTCTTCCTTGTTTTTCTTAAAGTGATTTCTCCCTTAAAACAGCTTGGTTCTTCTTTCTTTAAAAAAAAAATTTATTGAAGTACCAAACACACAGAGAAATTTTCACAACTCCTAAATGAATTGTCACAAAACTCAATGGATTTTCCCAACATCCACATCAAGAAACAGAATATTACCATTAACCCAGAAATTTCCTCATTTTCTGTCCCAACAACAGTACTTCCCCCAACCCCTGTGACCCCACAAAGAGCAACTGTTATTCTGGCTTCTAATACCCTAGGTTAGTTTTATAGAACAGCTTGGTTTTGGTCATCATGATTTCTCGATCATTCTTGTAGCAGTATCAGTGTACCTACCAGATAGAGCGAGTGTCCGAAAACTATGGGCAGGAGCCAAATCCATCCGACTGCCTGTTTTTATACATAAAGTTTCATTGGAACACAGACATCTCATTTGTTTACGTATTGTCTGTGGCTGCTTTTGAGCTCTATCTACGCAGTTGAGTAGTGATTAACAGACCGCACATAGCCCACAAAGACTACTTACTGTCTGGCCCTTTACAGAAAAGTTTGCCAACCCCTGGTGATAGAATTTTGTTTCCAGATTGATCCTACGTTCTGAAACTCCCCTGGGAAAGATGTTTGAATTCTCTGTGCAAGCCAAGCATTAGTGAAGATACTAATCTCACTGATAGTTAATTGTTATTCTAGTGACTTCAGTCTACAGTTGTGGCTAAGGTTTGCAAGCAAAGGTAGCTGTGGACAGTGAGCTAAAGAGATAGCTCTTAGGCAGCGAAGGGGGCACTTCTGCCCTGTCTTGTCCTCTGCCACCATCGATGACTTACTTTATCCTCTGGCCTTGTTTGCTCTTCATCCTTAACTTATCCTAAGCATGAATGTGTCCTGGAGGCTGGACAGGAGAGAAGAGCACCTGATCCACTCCAATGGAACCATTCTATTTTTAGGAGCTCCAGCCGTGCAGTTCCAGAGTGGGATATGGCCAGGGAGTGTTGGCGTTGGATTGGTGGGTGCATGCCCGTGGCAGTCTGCTTACCGATCAGCCAACATTGCATTCCTTTGCAGGAACTCTGTCACGCTGCTGCTGAGGAAGTGTGACGTTGCTTCTTTGCCAGCAGCTGCACGGGCATACTTTCCACATTACTCAAACTTCTGCCAGTGGCCACCTGGATGGGACAGCGCGTGTCAAACCTAAACAGAACTAAAAGTTATCAGTCATCTTAATTCATTTCCAGGAAGTTAAAAATTATCTACAGTATATTTCCTGATATGAAAAACCAGGGATTTTTTTCATGCTCTCTTGAATTTGTTTAGGACATAAATAGATGAGCAGTGCTGATAATGTTCCCTTAAAGTACTCTGTACGAGGCTGCCTATTTTGGCCTATTTATGTTAACAATGAACTTGAGTGAGGCTAATGAGAAGGTTATTTTAGGGCCTTGGAAACTGCAGTAAAGGAAAATGACAGTTCCCACCAAACCATAGTGTGACTGAAATAGAAAGGTGGTGACTGGCCTCTCTCTATACAAGCAGGGAAAGCAGGCTGGAGAGGACTGATGATACTGCTTTGAAGCATTTGGTTTGCTTATTAGCACGTCCAGTCACTTTCTAAGCAAGTTTTCTGGCTGCTGTGGAGACACTGAACTAAAGATTCCATTTTAAAATGGCTCAGACTGATGGAGGTTTCTGCTGGGTCCCCAACCCGGCCCTGGAGCATGACTCCATGCAGTGGACTTCACACACATCAGGGAACCGCCCCAAGGAGAGGACCCCACCATGCGGGTGACAGTGTGACCACATGTAAGCGAGGGTGCAGAGTGCAGCAACTGAGGCTGCTGTGAGGTTGGCAAAGAAAGGGAACTTTTGTGCTGAGGAACTGTGTTGAGAGTAAACACCTTCCCAGCCACCTGCCAGGCTCCGCCAGGGATCAGAGACCTGCTGGGCTGCAGAAGCCCTGGGCGAGGCTTCCTGTTTGATATTTAGCATCTCTGATGAATGCAGGTCAAGGTGAATGGATCCGGTTAAAAGCTCGACTCGCAAACTTCATGAAAACCCAAAGGAGGCTCTGACCCGTTTCTTATTCTGTGCCTCTGTTAGTTAACCACCATCTCTTCTTATCCAGGAGAGTCCTAAGTCTTTGAAAGAACACGTTTTCTCTCATCACAGAACATTCCATTCTCAGACATTATACAGCACAAACACTGTCTATTGATCTTATCTCACGAATTTTAATGCCACTGGGAGGAAACACTGGTTGTTCTGCCATGCTGGCCTAGCACACTTCTTTTGGTCTCTGCATGTGTCACTCTCTCCTGTCACTCCCATTTCTCATTTCTCACCTATTGTCTCAGATGTTGTGAGAACTGAAGTCAGGAAACACCCTCACAGTTCTCAAAATAAGAGCTTAAGCATCACCAATAGTACAGTCTTTTGCTGTGAGATGGTTGACATTTCATTTCTGTGATTAAAATGTATAACATCCAAGTTCTCGTTAGCAATTTTTCTTTCACTTAGATGCCCAGATTAATCATTTTAATTCCACATTTCCTTTTGGTAATTTCTTTTAAATTTTATGATAGCTCATATTTCTTTTAAAAGCAGGTTAATTCAGAGAAATAAGGAAAATACATTTGGCAGTTTTTGAGTTAACATGATTATATTTTATTATTTCCTGAAAACATCTCCAGTGTGTTATATCTCAGCTGGTTATTTAGAAAATGTAATGGGTTCTTAAAACTTAATAACAAAAGCAGCTGCTATTTTTACTTTAAAATATTCTTGCAAATAATTACCTATCTAGGGTGAGTTATCTATGTCCAGCAAAATGGTAAAAGAATTCCACTATACCTTACCTTGTGAATTCCTTTACCACTTAAAAGTGTCCTATGTAAAAAAAAAAAAATAGAGTAGTTGAAAGTTTTGTGCACTAATAAATTTAGAGTACTTGTTTTTAAGTCAGCTTTGGTTGTTTAAAATTTCCTGCATTACTGTTATAAATATACTTTTCACAGGGCACCTGTCTAGCTCAGTCAGTAGAGCATGCGACTCATGATCTTGGGGTTGTAAGTTCAAGCCCGTGTTGGGTGTAGAGATTACTTAAAAATAAAATCTTAAAATTATATGCATATATATACACACACACACTTTTCATGTTTCCTTTTTTTTAAGGTTTTATTTAATTATTTACTTTAGAGAGAGATTGAGAGCATGTGCAAACACAAGGGGGGGTGGGGAGGGGAAAGAATGTCAGACTACACATTGAGCCTGAGGCTGGGGCGCAGTAGGGGGCTCGATCTCACGACCCTGAGATCATGACCCAAGCCAGAACCAAGAGTTGGATGCTTAACCAGCTAAACCACCCAGGCGCCCCAAGAGTTTTTTCTTAGGTAGACAATGAACTTTTATCAGTGATATGTAGAAATTTCCCACTTTGAGAGCTCAGGTGTTTGCATATTTGATGTGCAAAAATAACTCTAAATTGCTTTTTGTTACATTGTAACAGGATAATTTTTCATAGTTAATATTAATCATATCGTATATGGCAGATACATAAATGGTTTAATTCAGTTTCTTAGTTGTGATATTCAATGTGATTCAGGGTGAATTCTGAATATTTAAGTATAGTTAGTATATCACATTCCCTCTTCCCCTCAGCATTATTGAATTTAATAAGTGAATAATTG